CAACAACAATGGATGAATGGATGGAGCTGGCACGCGTATCGTTACTCAGTCTAATGCAATCGTGAATGCGTGACAACTCAGCAATATCCTGCAATGTAAGTGCTTTGGTGTGGGGGCGGGGGGTGGCGTTCGGGGCGGAAGGGAAAAAAACCCACCGACAGATAAGCTAATAAGGTAAAGGTGGAAATGGCGACGTCGGTTTCGGGTGGCAATTCATTTGCGTCTGTGGTTGCGCCCGTTTGCCCTGTGCACACCCCTCCCCCCCTGACTCTCAGTTGACTCTCGGCGTTCAACACGGCGGGGTGCGCGTGGATGCGGGGGGTGGATTGCGAGCCCCCAATATCGTTTGGAGGAGCGCGCGCGGGGTGATGTCCCGTTTAGTGTCGCCACGTCCCGTCCGTGAACCCCCCGCCCACCCGCCACCCCCGGCACCTCTGGCAGTGGCCAATTGAAGCCGAGGCGAAGCCGCGACGGTGCGCAAGCAGCAGCAGCAGCGGTAGCAGTCGCGGCGACAGCGGTGAACTTGCGTGCCAGCAAAAGTTAACGCGGCCCAAACCCCCAACGGCAGTTATCGTGGTTAAATTAAGCGGCCGCTTAATTTCGGTTCAGTTATTTCATTTTATTGGTGGTGGGGGGGGGTTGACTATATTGTTCTTACATTGCTCAATTAAGCAGATTATTTGTAGGGTTATTAAAAGGAAGCGCCTCTCTGTGTTTTTTACAAACAGCGAAATTCAACCTTCCGTGGTCCAATGCCTGTTCATTCGCGTGCAATGTTTAGAAGCCGGGGGGTGGGATTGGAGTCGCTGCTGCCGATATTCGTTACCAATTTCAGGGGCGTTCGGAACGCACCCCCTGTTGTTATTATTCCGCCTAATTGCAAAGCCCTTTCTTGTTTGTTTGCTCTCGTGGAGTCTCGTACAAATTGAATTTTGATTCGGTAAAGCAAACGCCGTGTGATTTCATTTTCTCGGTTGCTCGCCGCTGCGCTTGCCAGCCAGGTGCCAGCGGAATTTTTTTTTTAATTCCACATCCTCCCTCACATCATCACATTGCGACATCCTGACATTCTGGACGGCATTGCCAGTCGCATCGACGGTATCAGGCACACCAGACTCATTAGAGCAGGCGGTGGGGAGGAGGGGGGGGGGGGATTTCCTTTGGCCAGGTCATTGCCATCCTGGGCTCAGGTATGTAAGACCGGTCTAAGGTTTAGGAATGGACCCCGCGTGTACATGGTTTAGTCCAGTGCTGAGATAGGGCCCTAATGAATACAACCATAGAGTATGGGAGGGGGACTGGCGAATATTTTAATAAAAGAGAGCAGTCTCGCATTTACATTCAAGTGTTGTGGTTCACTAAACGATGGAATTCGCGCGCGACTTCATCCGTGGGTATTTACGCAGGGCTTGAAAGGCCCAGGTTTCATATAGGAACGCATTTAGTCGCCTACTTAAATCATCTCCATCCGATTCATCGGAGCAAATGCAATTCAGCGACAAGCATGTTATTAATAATTAAAGGAATAATTATTGTTCACGGCTTATTGGTAATCCACTGCTGGATGAAGTTCTCCCCGTACCGTGCGGGTAGTTTGAGTTTACTTCACCACACTGATCAGGGCAGGTTGGTGAAAAGGGGAGGCCCAGGATCGGTTCAGATTTCACTGACTACTGATGTTAGCCATGGCCAGGAATTGAACTGAGGTTTCTGGGTTCACAGCGTAGTGTGTGTACCCACTGTGCCACCACTCATATTCCCATTAGTACTTTGACGGTGGTCAATTACCAAAGTAGTAGCCAGCCCTGAACCTGCCGAGCTACTGAGATTGGGTGAGATCAGGCAAATTTGACACGATTTAAAAATTAATCAAGAAACCAGACTGCCAAAATATCGAGAGGCCACCTTTTCCATCTGACAGGAGGAACAAAAGAGCAATACGCTATCTCTAATTAATCTATTAAGTAATGCACACGTTCACTGGAGCAGCAACTTCATAAGAAACTTCGTGATGTGACTCTCAACGAGAAATGGAGGTTGAATTTGTACCGTGATTTGCATCCAGTTTCGTTTTTTAGGTCAGCAAAATTCACAAACCTCTTAGCTGAGACCACAGTCCCCGCAACGGAATCTGGGCATGAAAAGTGGCCTTGGGCACTACCACTGCTGAACCCCTTAACCGTAACCATAAACCCTGACCCCCTAACCCTACACGGACCCTAAATAAGTGGCGTCCCTTCATATTACATCGACTGAAAGCTAATGAAGCGGGAATTGGAAAGGTCCGCTAAAGGCTAAGGGGGGGGGGGGGGGGGGGGGAGGGAGGAAACTCAATGAAAATCTGTAATTGGATGAAAAATGTGCTCACGATCGCAGAAAAAAAAAGACGCAAATCTGTGGGGAAGGGTGCAGCGGTCACTTACAACTCACAAACGTTTTCGGTAACTGTCTGGAAATTTGCGTCGGGAGTCTGCTTGTGGAGAAGTGTGGGGGGGGGGGGGGGGATGCAGAATCCAACGCATCGTCCACAGGGTCAACAGCAACGCATTGCGCGGAGCCCACAAATGGATCGCAGCATCAGCAGCAGCAGAGGCAGCAGCAGAGGATCGATGAAATGTGCTGGCATCGGCACAAAGACGCCATCACTAAAGCTATCGACTGAGAATGGCCAACGACGATCGTGATAACGACGCCGGCAGACGAGACCCTTCCCCACAGCAATTCAGTAAATTGCCATAATTCTGGGGGCGGGGGGGGGGGGAGTCGGGATTTGATTTGAGAATCGATCATTGTTGTGGTCTCATTTTACCGTCACGTCATTTCTCCCTCTCCCACGTCTCATCTTAGACGATTGTATTTGCTCAGGAAGGACGAGAAGAGAGGGCCGAACGCCTCGGCTGACGTGGCGCGACGGAAGGGTGGGGAGGGAGTGCTGAGACCGAGCTCGCGAGACAAAGAAGACAACCGGATAGGCGCCAATTTGAGAATGGATGCGAGCGGCGGGGAATGACTCGGGAGTCGAACGAAACGCCGGGGTAGCCTCCCGCTGGTCCACATCGTCGGAGGTTCAGCTCGAGAAGTGATGACGTGGATTCCGCGAGTAAACATCCGAGGAGAAGCGGGGGAGAAAGAAAGGAAATCAACTGCGGGGTACGTGAGCAGCTGGACTGGACGACGCACTGAGAGACGTCAGAGATCATGAACAGTGGATAGGATGGGTCATTCAGATGGACCCATGACCCTCAGTTATGAGTATGATGTCTGATGATGATGATGATTTGCGTAACAAAATCGATGATCACACACGCGTGCATCGTTAGTGTAAGAGCGGTGTGTGTAAAGCCATGAATGGGCCAATCGTGATACGCGGGGTGTGAATGCTGCGGCAAGGCTACATTAGAGGTGAGTGGAACCCAAAACAGAGGCCATCCATTCAGCGAGGATTTATCCAGCTCGCGGAAAACTAAATCAGCTCGCGTGCGGGTGCTGGGTGGCTTCTTGTGTTGTCGAACCGCGAGAGATGGCGACGGCTCAGGGATCCCTTCGTGTAGCAGTGGATTGATCACGGCTGACGACGATGAATGGAATGAATGATGAAGACGGAACGTGCTTTACAGTCAGCACAAACGAGAGACTCCCAACGACAAAAGACAACAACAATCGATTCTTCAATTAAATCTGGGTCCTGAATTGCGACACTGATTCGTAGGATGATGAATGAGTGAATCGTCACGTGCCAATTCTATGGAAAACGAAGAGAGTTTGCAATGTGACTGCGGCCACCATGGCTAGACCGCTGATCACGTGATCCCACCTGCACCGCCGATTCAGACCGTTGATCACGTGATCCAGCACTGTCCCCTGTGCCGCCGATTCCTAAACCGTGAATCACGTGATCCCACATTGCCCCCTGCACTGCCGATTCATAAACCGTGGATCACGTGATCCCACATTGCCTCCTGCATTTTCGATTCACAAACCGTAGATCACGTGATCCCACATTGCCTCCTGCACGGCCGATTCACAGACCGTGGATCACGTGATCCAGTACTGCCCCCTGCAAACGTCGATTCTCGGGGGTCCTGCATCACAGACAGACACCCGGCAAGCCTGCACAGTGGCTACCGAAATGGCTTCAGAAACCTCGAAAATCCACACGCGTGTCTCGTCGCTAATGTCACCTTGCCAGGTGAAAAGACCACAACAACAACAACAAAACAACACATCGCATTTCATTCGAACGTCAATGACTTTGCTCGTGGCCGGCGATAGCGATGGTGGCGATGGGGAAGCGTGTTTGCGAGAGGGAGGGAGGGCGAGAGAGGGGGGAGAGAGAGAGGGGGAGAGAACGGACACGGGGGCAGAGAGAGAGAGGGGGGGCAGAGAGGGGGGTAGCGAGAGAGAAGGGGCAGAGAGGGGGGTAGAGAGAGAGGGAAGGGGTAAGGAGAGCAGAAAAAAAATATTTTGTTGTGTCTTTCATTTAAAGGGGTGGGGGGGTTTACATAAAGCAAAGCATTAAAAAACCGAAATGATAAACGGAGCAAAGTGCCGACTACACCAAGCATCTTCTTGTTTACTCTGATCGTAAAAAAAGAGAGCGGGCACGGAGCGGGTTTGCGTTGGGATCGTATCGCGTCGTGTCTGATCGGAGCGGGCGGTGGAAAGAAGAGAAGGTGGAGAGGAAAGAAGGTGGAGAGGAGAGAAGGTGGAGGGGTAAGGAGGTTGGGGAGGCCGTTTGACTGTGAGGAGGGCTGCGTGCAGATGCAGCACTTGTCGTAGTTAAAAAAAGAGAGAGAGCGACATGGAGTAGGAAGAGAGGGGGTAGAGAGAGAGAGGGGGGGCAGAGAGGGGGGTAGAGAGAAAGGGAAGGGGTAAGGAGAGCAGTGCGAGAAGGTGGAGGGGTAGGAGAAAGGAGGTTGGGGAGGAGAGAAGGTGGAGGAGAGGGAAGGGAGAGGAGAGGAGGTGGAATCCGTGAACGCTTTCGCGGCTGAGCCCCTTGCCTGAGCCCGTGGGAGCGCAGCTGTTTGCTCAGCCGAAGCCGCTGCACATCCTCGATGTCGCGGAACTGGAAGAAGGAATCCTTGCACTCGGGGTGCGTCTCGAACAGCCTGCGAGCATCGCAAACAAATCGCGCGCAACGACGCACGCACACACAGAGACACGGGGGGTGGGGGGTGGAAGGCAAAAAAAACAAAACAAACAACACGGCCATTAACCACTCGCGGAGCACCCAGCACGTACGCCAGTAAGGTCAGGAGTCCATCTTCCGTACTTAAAGTGCATTACGCACACACGTGTACACTCACGCGCGCGCACACACACGCACGCGCGTGCGCGCGCGTGCACCGTAACGGCCGGTTGTTTTGAGTAATTATCGTATTTACTGCCTTCGCCCGGCATCGGAGCGCTCCCACCCCGCAAATTGGAGAGGCGGGAAGTTCACTTTGTGATGTTTCCTGGCGCAACATGGGCGAGCTCCACATTACACGGGGCGAGACGGCGCGGTCGCCAGGGGACAGCGTTGGGGAGGGGGCACACACCCCCCCCCGCCATCATAAAAGCCCCCCAACCCCCTAACTCCGTCGGCACTCGCTCGCCCGTCTATCTCGTGGCTTGTCCCTAAAAAAACATAAAATCTGGTGGGATTTCGTGGGCGGTTCAATTTGTGGCAATCCACACTGCGGCGGGGATAGGAGGCGGGGCTCACACACCACAGCAAAGTCAAAGATCCCCCGTATAGCATTAACAGACTGTTGGGGCCAGTGCGGTTTGCGAGCAGCTATAAAAGCAGGCACGGCACACGAGGGGGTGGGTGGCCAAGGGGAGGCTCAGGACCGATTCAGATAATCGCCACTGGGTGTTGGCCGTGAGCGGGAATAGAACCCGGGTGGCCAGGTTCGTAGCGCAGCTTAGCGCTCACCACTACACACCACAGCACCCCCACCCTGACGCCCCCCCCACCCCCTCTCCGTTCCATCAGCGCTCGCTCCCCCGTTTATTTCATGGCTTTACCAAGAAACCCCCCCCCCCCAAATTACACGTCCGGCACCACTCCCATGCGTCTCGACACACCAAAAAAAAAGAGAAGACGAGTTAATAATAATAACAACGAAATCGAGCACACACACACATGAAACAAAAGCATATAGTAGGTGTGTGTACTAAAAAATAATAATACCAAGAACAGAGTAGTCGCACGTTCATGACACCACCGATGTCAACACCACGCGGTGCATTTTTCCGCACGCGAGTGGCACGGTTGGCTACGTACGGCGCGAAAGATGTTCACAGAACACGCACGCACGCACGCGCGCGAGTTTGAGCAAGTAACGCCCAGCGCCGTCGCGTGCAGTGCGCGTGAACGCGACAGCGTGAGCCGTGCGCGACGAGTGAATATAATCCGGACACCACCTCGATATTCCAAATGCCCCCGGGGGCCAAAACAACCCCACGAACGAAACGCGTCCATCATACACCCCCCCCCCCGATCCCCCTCCCACACCCCCCCGCCCCACTCCTCGTTCTGCATTCATAAATCGCTGGCGTGAGCGTGGCGACCCTCATATTCAAATGCGCCAGGGGTGAGATGGTTTTTTTTAATTTGACAGCGGGAAGGCGGAGGCGTCTCTTTTGGGACGCTTCCGTGGGTGTTGATTGCGATTCTGGGCATCACCGCCGACGCCGCCGCCGTGATCGTGGTGCGGGAGAATGAGGAGGGATGATGGGGAGCGGGGTTTGTCAGGGAAGGACATCGGCCCCCTCCCTGCAACCCCCCCACCACCCATCCCCACTTACACCGCCACCCCAATAAACAAAACCCCAGACCACAGGGGGCCCGTTGTCCGATGTGAATCTTGCACTGATGCGCACGCTTGGATTAAATCACGGGTGGAGTAATTATTTTTCAATTATATTAGTAACATTTACAATAAAAAAACCTAAGAAAGCAAACACGCACGCAAATATAAACAACATACGCATCTTACATAATATTCCATGGGCCTGATTCAAGTGGTTGAAGAATGTCCTTTTTTTTTGCAAATAGAAGACAAAATATCTCCAAGAATTGCGATGCAGCCGAGCAGATAGAGCATTCGCCGCTCTTTGCAGAGGTTCACTGTTCGAATCCAGCGGCCTATCCTGGTAAATACTGCGGTGTGTAATAACCGTAATAATAATAATCATACGTGCCAGCCTGATTCACAGCCAAAAAAAAGATCCCTGACCGATATCCGCAAGAGTTAGGCAATTGTGTGCTAGCGTCAGGGTCCAGATTTGGCAAATTCGAAAATTGCACTGCAAATGCCCTCATTGGGATTACACAGAAACACGCAGAGCAGCAATCGTGTTTCCCTACTGGCAGCCCAATGCCCCAGGTAACTCTTGCAAAATGAGACTCATCCTGGTCCCGTGATTTCTTGCCGCCTGATTAAACCACAATAAACTTCACTGCGTATAACGACAGGGCAACTTGCCAGGGCGATTCGACGCGTTGGCGTCATCTCTCGTGCCGTGTGCACACAATGCTTGCACCTGGAAATGCATTGCACTGCACACACAATTAACATCGTTTTCAATTAAATGATAATGCACAGATTCCCTAAAGAAATGTTCATTTGAAACAGGGAATCTGTTTGCTCTTGCGCTGGAGGAAAATAAAAAAAATACTGCATACTTCAGATGCACAGCCTTCGGCCAAAAATCACACTCTTGCAGTAAGAACACATGAACAAACAAGAGCAACACTGACTCACACAGCCGCCGTTCACCACTTAAAGTGGATGTGACGTCACCGCAACGCCGGTGCCAGGTTAGGTGCACTTCGAGGCGACGGGGCGGCAAAGGTGGTGGCGGCGTTGGTGATGATGATGATGATCACGCCTCACAGCAAGAAGCCCCTGGGGGATTTAGATTCTAGATTTGAAGCTTTCGTGACTGCAAGGATCCATACTCTTTGGTTCTATTCGGTAAAGTCACGTAGGTAAAAAATAAAACAACAAAAATGACGACGTTTCGTCCACAACACAAGTAGCCTTCTTCAGGTGAAGGAACAGAACTGTCGGGACGACAGAGCTTCAATGAACGCTGCTAAGATTCGTAGCGTCTTTTATATTACCGACTCGGGCGCCTCTCTCCGTGGAGTTTGTAGTCTCTGGCTTCTCTTGTTTCTTCCCATAGCACAGCGTAAACGGGGTTGGCCAAACATCCCAATGCCGAGGAGTTACCTGCACATTACTCAACTGGGATCACAAAAAACAAACCAAGACAAAAATCCCCCGTTTATCCTTAACAGAGTGTGGGGGCAAGTGCTGTTAGCGAGCACTTATGAAGGCCGGCACGGCACACGAGGGGGTGGGTGCCCAGCACCACGCCCGACCGCCTTTGTCTCCCCTGTGGCGATGTTTTTACACACCACTCCAGATACTCATTCGAGGCTGAATAAACATAGGGGAGGCCCAAAGCCGTTGAGATCATCGTCACTGGTCTTAGCCGTGAGCGGGAATCAAACTAGGACGCCGGTTTCGTAGCGCAGCGCGCTAACCGCTGCACCACCGCTCCACGTACGCAGCAGCAGCATTGCCCTCGACTGCCAAAAACTGAGCAGGACCCTTCTTAAAACGAGTCTTGAGATTCATCGAGGCTTTCCCGGGTAAATAAGCATATTATAATTATAATACCCTAATCTAGAAAACAACGTTTAACTTATTCTTTGGGTCTTTCGGTAAAGTCACGTAGATAGATTTTATTTGAACCTATCTACGTGACTTTACCGAAAGACCCAAAGAATATGAATTCCTGCAGTCACGAAAGCTTTAAGTCAAGATTTAACATTTAACTTCAAAGCCTCGACGTGTCTCGCATCAATCTGAATACCGTACGCTCATTAAATATTTCAAAACCCTCCCGGTACACTCTGCCCATATACAGAGCCATCGCCTTTCGGAATATTCAATCGCCCCGTTGGGAAGAAAATAATAGGGTCCTTTAGATATCAGTGGGGTATCTACAAAATCGATCGCCCTGTAGGGGCCGCATTGCGCGCGGCGGCATCACACGAGGCGGGAGCGCAGCGCGGCCGGGTTGGTTCCAGCGGCACGTGCCATGTGTCCACAACTCCGATAAGCTTCCCGACACCCCTCCTCCTCCCACCCCCCTCCTTGCCGCCACCGCTTTCCACGGTGACCACCGTCAGCACCGTTCCAGGTGGGGCGCGGATGTCACCTCGGGGGGCGGAGGGGGGGCTTTTTAAAGCGAGCCACCATGGCCACTTAACAAGAGACTGGCTTGACTGCCAAGGAACCCTGTTGCCACCTGTTGCCACCTGTTCCCGGCTTTCCCAGCAGTGTCCTCTTTGTCGAGGTCGCCGTCCTGGACATAAACATTCCTGGTTCTGGCGCGATAACACAAAGACAAAGATCCCCCGTATAGCCTTAACAGGCTGTTGGGGCAAGTGCTGTTAGCGAGCACCAATGAATGTCGGCACGGCACACGAGGGAGGTGGGTGGCCAGCACCACGCCCGACCGCCTTTGTCTCCCGAGCGGCGATGTTTACACATCGCACCAGGGACTCATTTAAAGGCCGAGTCGACCCAGGGAAGATCCAGAAGCGGCTCAGACAGTCGTCACAGCTATTGACCATGGAATCAAAAGTCGATTCTCAGCGCGGCGCACTAACTGCCACACGACCGCTCCCCCCCCCCCGCCCCCCCACTCTGTCGCACGCACGTGGGCAGGGTTGCGCACATGGCATTCGGTAATGGGTCACAATCTCCCCCATCGGGGATAGCGGCCGGGGGGGGGGGGAACAAAGCAAAACAAATGGACAGGCACGGGGGAACGGGGATTGGGGTGGGGAGGAGGAAACTCGGGGCTCGGAGGGGGATTAGGGAAGGGGTTGGGCGGAGATTTCCGTCGGACCGCGCGTTCCCAGGCGCCGAGAGGCTCGCATCGTACCCATGGCTCACACGAGGAGTTGCGTGCGAATGAGACCCCCCGAGTTTAACCGCTGCTGCAACGTGTTGTTGCGATGCCACGTGTTGTTGCGATGCCACGTGTTGTTGCGATGCCACGTGTTGTTGCGATGCCACGTGCTGTTGCGTTGCCACGT